CTGCCACATTTTCTCAGTGATAGCCTATGTTCTTTGGATGTGGGGGTCTTAGTTCCAAAGAGGAGTCCTCCCTCCTGGAGACACAACACTGATTCTTTTGAACTGGAAGTTAGGAAAGCCCACTGGACATTTTGGGCTCTGCATCAATAGCCAAATGAGTGAGTTACAGGACTGAGTCAGAGAGGAGCCCTGGTGGCAGAGCAATTACTATAGTGGCTACGAATTGGGTTGCCTACATAAGGCTAACAGTTCAAAACCACTACATGGGAGAAAGAGAGGGGTTTCTACTCATATAAAGAGTTGCAGTCTCCGAAACTCACTGGGGCAGTTCTACCCTGTCCTATAGGCATGCTATGATTTATCAACTCAATGGCAGTGAATTTGGTTTTGGTTTTGGTTTTGTATTGAGTGGTACATTTCACTCTGATTACCAAGGGGAAATCAAACTGATAATGAAAAATGGAGATAAAGAAGAATGCATCTGGAACCCAGGGAATTCCTTAATACTATCATGCTTGTGATTAAAATCAATGGGAAACTACAACAATCCAATTCTGACAAGAATCTTAATGGACAAGAACCTTACACAATGAATGTCTGGTCCCTCAGACATGAGCAGAGCCACAGCCATCCGAGGCGCTTGCTGAGGGCAAAGACGAGATGAAATGAGTGGTGGAAATGTAGAGTTTTAAATTTCACTTATAGCGACATAATTTAAGTATCACTTATAGTCACTGTAATTGGTATGAGAATTTCCTTCTGAATGACGCATCAAATACTTTTGTCCATTTATAAAATATTACATGTTGAGTAGGGTCATGTCTTAAGAACTAGTTGTTCTTGGATTGGCTACAATTAAGAATAAGCCCCAAATCCACTCATTTTTCTATGTTTTTTATATGTCTGTGGTTCACTTCAGAGACATAAGTATCATTTTATGAGAGAACATTATAAATCCTTCCCATGGGATATAAGGTAAATCTATTGACAATATTAATTTTGCCAATTTTATAGAATTTTAAACGCTGTTGAGAAAAGGAAATTATACATGTATAGGCCTGGTTGTCTGTCTGCAAATCATGAATTGCTCACTTATCCAGATTAAGAGCTTAAGTGACTAGATACAATTTAAATGAATAATCAGGCTTAGGGACAGGACAACCCTTTCAAGGACACTCAGTCACAGAGACAGAACCATGCCTGCCAGAGGAACACAAGTCATGAAAAAGCAAAGAGAGCGTTCAAATTCTAAACATAAAGAGATCATTGAACATATGAGAGCTGTAGCAAAATGTGGTGAAGACATGAGAACAAATATCATCTGGAGTCTTAAAGGCTTGTTTGAAAGCAAGCAGCCATCTGAGTGAGTGAGCATCACCTAAGTCCTCATGAAAGAACAGAACTCTGTGTGATCCAAGGATTGTCAGTAATAAAATCTGAATCCAAAGGAGGATACATTTTCAGAGCTTAAATTGTGAATGTTCAATATTCAGAAGAGTATGGATGACAATGGAAGCCCCCAAACCCATTTGTAGGGCCTTCCTATGGCTTAAGACCCCATTGAGTCCCCTCTGACCATAGTCAAGGGATATAGCTAGCCTTGCTATCAGACAGGGAGCATTGTGAGGTTGATTATGGGAGATGTAGTTAAATTAGAATGTAACATCTTATTATTTGATACTCTTTTGACGCATTTTAACGTATTTTCAGTTTTAATATTTTCTGTTTTCTTGTTGACTGAGGAATTTCTGTTTTGTTTTGCCATTGTTTTTAGTTGTTTCTTGTTTTTGTTTCGTTATGTTTTTCTGTATATGAGCTCCAGGAGAGGAACTATCTATACAAACAGTTATGGGATTAATAGTTACTGAGGGGCATGGCTAGGGAGGTCGTGAGGAAGTGGGGAGCTAACAACAAGGAGGATAAGAAAGGAAAACATTTTGAAATTGATTGTGGTGATGATTGTTCAACTCTTCGTTTTATGATTTAACTACTTAATTGTATATTATGTGAATTATATACCAATAAACTATAATATATATATTTATAATACACACAAATATGTATGATGTCACTGAGGTTAGTGTGTTATGTTGTATGTGGGATATATATCATTAAGTGCAAGAATGTTGTTTTTAATTGCCTTTATTAAAGAGATTATGTTTGATTTAAGGAGATGTGTGCAGGTCCCAAGTGGACACGCATTGAACAGGGTTAGTTGGGGTTTTGTGTCAACTTGGTTGGACCAGGATGCTCAGGGTTTTGGTAGGTAAGACTGGATCTGAGCTAACAATATAATCACCTCCAAAACGATATCTACTACAAGCAGCCAGTCAATTGTAAGAAGATTCAGGTGAGATGCAACACCCGCAAGCAGATCACAGCCCTGAGCCAATTAATTGAAAGAAGGTTTCCATAGGGATGTGACCTGCTTCCAATACAAGTGAACCCTATTGAAAAGCTGCTTGCTTTTGTTGTTTCTGGATCCTGCATCTGGTTTGTCTTCCAAGCTCTGGTTCTTTGAATTTGAGTCAGCAACCTGTTGATCCTGGGAGTTGTTAGCAGAACGCCTATTTTGGATTCATTTGCGTCTGCAGGCAGAAGCCAGCCTTCCAACCTGCAGATCTTGGGATTGTTAGCCCCCGCAGCTATGAGAGTCAAGTTAAGCCCCCAGTCTCACATATGTACCACTGACTTGGGACATGCCTTTTTCTACAACTGTGTGAAGCAATTATTTGTTATAAAACTCTCCAAATATATATATTTTCATAAGCTTCATGGTTTTGCCTCTATATAGAACAGTTTAACCACAGAACTGCAATTAATGTACTTAAGCCCTTTCCAATTACCAGACTATGATTGAAAGATTATCCCTTGTGCTAACTAATGTAATTCACACAACAATCTATAATGTAGATACTATTGTTATCCAAAATTCACAGATAAAGAAAGGAGGCACAGAAATTTACCTAAGTCAAGTAAGAAGTGTGGTAGTTGCATAACCTGGTGTCAGTTTGGGACTTGAGAGGATTAAGAGTGAAGTCTAATCTGTCAATGGATCATAGCCAATGAGGACTCTGTTTGGGTATGGCCTTCTCCTGAGAATTCTGGGAACTCTTGTATTTTCCTCCTTGGAGACTGAAGGCACTTTCTCTCTGTATTCACTCTCTCGGAGACTCTCTACTGACAAGACTCACTCCCTTGGAGACGCTCTACTGACAAAGCACATGGCACCACGCTGATAGACCCCATGCCCTGGGAACTGGAGAAGCCACGTGGAGACCCCTGCCAGCGCTGAAATGCTAACAACACCACTAGATCCAAAGACTTTCTGAACACTGGCCTGTGATCGTCCTGCATTCAGCATTATTGCATGTGTTTTGTGAATCTGAAGAGGACTTTATAGATTGGTATCAGAAATATGGGCTAATATCAGACTTATGGGCTTGGACTGGACTGTGTTGGGATGCTTTCTTAATGCACAATTACCCTTTATATAAAATTCTTTCTTATACACATATGAGTTTCTATGGATTTGTTTCTCTAGTCTACCCGGACTAATACAAGCAATAAATCCAGGGATCAAGGATATTAGCTGTATTTGTAAGAAAGGGGAAGTTGTGTTGATATTTAGGGTGGAGGTGCCAAACAATTAGATCGATATCCCTTTTGATTGTGAACATTAGAAAAGCTGTTGGGAAGATCTGGTTTATGGATGAAAACTCTAAATGGCCTTTCCTTCTCCACTCCTCCTGTGCCCCCATCAAGTTGTAGGCTAAGCAGTAGAGACAAATTATATATATGGAAAAGAAAGGAGGAGCGAGGGAAGTGTTCCACTTAACATCCAACTCTGCCAATAAAATTGTCAGCAATGAACCTCGACCTTGAATACGTAAATGCCTCCCCATGAAACTCCTTTTTCACTCGTATTTGTTAGAATGAACCCACTGGGAAGTTTAAGAAAGGAGAAAACGTGAGACGTAAATTCATCTTTTCTATTGAACATACTGTGAAATGCATCTTGTATAGACCAGGAAGACTGTGGTGGGGGCAGTGGTAGGTTTAGTAGTAAAATCCTTGCCTCCCACGCAGGAAGCTCAGGTTGGATCTTGGCTAAAGTATTATCCATGGGAGGCATTTCCATGACCATGTTGCTGAACACGTCTCAGCTGAGTTTCCAGACTAAGATAGACTAGAAAGGAAATATCTACATTCTAAAATCAGCTAATGAAAACTTGATGGATCACAAAAATTCTAATCTCTGGTGCCTGCAATCTCCATTAACCAGGGCTGACTCTATAGTCGCTTGCAAGAGCACAACAAAATAAGCTGGGGTTATAAAGAAAAGTTAGATATATATAAATGAGTCACAAAGAACTTAGAATTCAGAAAAGGAGTTTGTGGGACCACTTATGATGCAATCACATGTCATATCTGTGACTGATGACTTCCCCACCATCACCCTTGCCCAGTAATTGTGCTACCTAGTCTCTGTGCCCTGACCAGCTCCACACCCCTCACTTCCTGGTCTGTGCTGGGAGCTCTATGGGTTGAAATGGTTTCCCCTGAATGCCTACTACTGGGTGACTCATATCACTTCATTTGAGTGCTCAAATTCTGCCCATAGTCTCTCATAGTATCTACAGTAAATTACCTCCATCTGAATCTGAATCCCTGTGGTCCATTCTGTTTCTGTCAGAACTTAATGTGCACAAAGGTTAAGGGAGGAAGAACCGGTGCCTGACACTTTGCAGATTGTTTTATTAGCAGAAAGTGACACGTTCTTCTAGTAAATTATTATTTTTTTCCTGCAAAATAGAAATAATATTTATTCTATATAATTGTGGAGTTGGAATGTGATAATTGGATATTGTCACAAATCCTCCTGGAAATTTATATTCTGAATGAGGTGAATAAAAATTAAGACGCGTATTTTTAAATCACAAGAAAAGTAGCCAGAAAGTGCAAAGAAGGTACACGAGAGATCTGATCAAACAATAACCGAAGGTTCATCTAATATTTTATTTCCTTTATAGTTTAAACTGGTTTGAGCATTTTATAGTATTAGTTCACATCAAATATCCACATTTATAAATGAACTAAACCATTTAACGTGTTTTCTTATAAGATCATGATAGTATAAATGTCCAAAACCTAAAACCTAGCTTGTTAGCATTGAGTTAATGAACTCAAAATAACCAGATAAGACAGAGTAGAACTGCCCCTGAGTGTTTCTGAGACCAAATCTCTCCTGGGACAGAAAGCTTCAGATTTCTCCCCCGGAGAATATGGTGGTTCTGAGCTGCTGAGTTTGGAGTTAGCAGCTAGCTGTGTAAATCCATCAGGCCACGAGGGCTCCTAAACTGAAGGGACTGCCAGAGAAATACTCCCTCTGCCTAAGTCAGCCTATCCCTAAGCTTATTTGTTTTCGAGAGATGATTCGAAATCCTACAGAAAAATACCATGAAAATGGTGATTTAATAAGTGTTAACATACCAGGTATAATCGTGACAGCTTTAAAATTAACAGTAATTTAGCAACTAAAAAAATGCAGTCATTTAGATCAATCAGTAAAAAGATGGGGGAAAAATCTGTGTTGTGCCTGATAAGCTTACCACTAACTGTAGATAATATAAGTTTCTGTACTCAAATGTCAAGGGAAATGAGTAGAATCAATAGTCAATAACTTGGAAGCAATGTTTCTTCTTTTCTAGCCAGCAAAGTACTGATTGCTTTTCTCAGAAATCTGAATACACAGCATTTAGATGAACTATAATTAAGCTTTCATACAATAATAATTTTGAATGTATATTTGAATTTATTTTTCCAAAATAATTATATTAGCAAAAATTTTACATAGCCTTTGTTGACTTCACACATTCAAATGAGGTGTGACCAATGATAAAAAGGATGAGCACAGAGCTAGCATTGGAACCTCAGTTTTATGTCAAAGGAACTAACTAGTTTATAAATCACAAGAGATTGATCTTTTCATTTAATTCCTTCTGTAAATGAACAAAACACTTTATCAAACAGTCGACATAGTTACTTACTCCAAATTTTACATCTAGTGAAACAAGTATATCTATAGGAGCTCAGTTAACAAAAAGTACTTCAAAAAAGCACTCTGAAAATGGCAGGCAATTTTTTTATTGTAGGCAATTATTTAAACTGCATATTTGGGATTATGCATAGTAAGTCATGTGAGAAACAAAACAAAAACATCCACCTTGCAGTTAGATTTCCAGTATCTAGCTTTCATATATTTATTTTTTTAGCAATGCCATAAATGGGATTTTGCCAGGGTATAAAAATGAGGACCCTTGTAGGAATTACTTGTAGTTTCCAAGATGAATGGCAGAGCGCACATAGACACAGCGGAAGGTGGTTGGCAGAATCTCCCAGTACTGCACTGGGTTGCTAAAAAGGCTCAAGGCGGAGTAAGAAGTTTTTTTGGTGTTGTATCCAGGTGGACAGAAGTCGTAGGCTCCAATTTCAGAGATATTGTTGTTATGAAGGTACACAACCTGCAACATGGAATAATGGAGAATGATTATTTTCCTCTCAATAACATAAGGCCTTTTGTGTGTAAGTATATATATTCCATAATTTGAATTATAATACTTTGCAAACCAAATTGTTTATTTCTCTGGTTCACTCCCCCACCCTAATTTGTGTTCCCTTCACTAGTTTTCCCCAACTCACTATCAGTGGCATCTAATTTATTCCAGATGTTCAGGTAAAAACTTTGCAATTACTTCCCTCCTCCCGTTGCTCATACTCCATAACCAGCCATCAGAAAATGCTACTGGTTGTGGCTCCAAATACAGATAGAATTCAGTCTCTTCTCCTGCTCTCTACTTATACAACCTGTCCAGGTCGCCATCATCTCTTGCCTGGATCATTGCCCTAGTCCTAATCATTCTTTCTGATTTCTCCTCTGTCATTTCAAAGTCTTTTCCTTTCTCAGTCACCAGAGACATGGTTTTAAAAGTGGATCACAACATATCTTCCTTACATCACTACTTCAGTTGCATCCCATCTCACTCAGAATAAAATCCACACTTTTTCTAGTGGCTTACAAATCCGACATTATCTGACTTCCTTCAGCTCACATCTAATCTCCCCTTCCTATTACACCATAGGGGCTCACTTGCTACTTCTACTCTATAGAGACCAATATTTAATATGTGTGATATAAAGAGATAATTGTCAAATGTTACATAGCCAAGGCCTGAATATGCTTTTGAGGTAGAATTTTTAAAAATGAGTCAGGGACAGAATCCTGTAACATAAAAGTATTACACACCATAGTTAAGCAGACTTTATTCTAGGAAAAAATGTGAGTTTAGCCCAAAAGCCAATTATGATAGTGTACATACTTCATTAACAAAATGAAGACTCAAAATCATATAATCACTTAATGTACATAGAAAAAGGATTTTTGAAAACCTCTAAAATATATTATTCATATTTTAAAAGTCTCAATAAAGTAGGGCTAGAAAAGAATTACACAACTTAGAAAAAAGTAGTTTAAAAAACCTTCAAATAACATCATATTTAGTGGTAAAATAATGAAAAATTCATATTTCCAAAATGGAAAGTAAGGCATGGTTTGCCAATATCACTGATCCTATCCAACAGTATCCTGGGGAATATTGACAGTGTAATAATAAATGGAAGTAATCAAGACTGGAAAGGGAAAACTTTAACTGTAACTATTTCAGTTGACATGATCTTGAATATAATCAATTCTAAAAAATTCACAAACTTCTACAACTGAAATTAAATTCAGAAAGGTATCAAGATAGAAGATAAATACACAAAGATGATTTGCAGTTCTTTTAAGAGGATCAAATAATGCAAAGTGAAATTTAGACACCAATTAGCTAAGAAGAGCATCAAAAGGGATGGCATATCTAGGATCAAATTTAACAAAATAATTCTAAGACTTGGTGTACACTGACTATTACAAAGCATTGTTTGGAGAACTTAAATATCTAAATAGAGAATATTCTATGTTTGGGAGTTTAATATTGGTTATCATTATAAATACTGATCTGTAATCCCAACACAATGCTATTACAATTCTAGCAGGCTATTTATTTTTGTTATTAGAAAATAGAGGAAGGCTCGGGAGTTGGGGAGAGAAACAACACTAGAGACCACAGGATAAGGTTTCTCTGGACCAATAACTTCTTCATTGCAAATACTTTTTAGGCACCATAAATGTCAACTACACAGTGGAGGTCAGCAGAGGGATACACAGAAGCATAATTATGTCTGAGTTGGGATAATATCTGTACATGCACAACAAAATAAAAATACAGTTTTTCAAATTTACCATCAACCACTATAGTTAGAGATGACTAAATTGAAAAATGCTATCGGCTTCTTGTCTGAATTGTTCAAGCATCCAATCAAGATGCATTGATAATCACTGGTGATTGGTATGGAAAATAATGGAATCAAAGATGAGGGAGCATTGCTGGAAAATGTGGTTTATAGGAATAAGCTGGAGACTGTATAAGAGCATTTTGCCAGATCCATTTTTCTTTATTACAAATCCCTTTTTCAACAACATTAATGGGACTATGCATTTGGATTCCTCCAGATGAAATACACAGAAATCAAGTCGACTGCGTCTCTGGGAGGAGACAGTGGAGAAGCTCCACATCAGGAGCCCAAAGGAGGCCAGGGGCATCCGGTGGAACAGACCATCAATTGCTCAAAGGTTGAAGTTAAAGTTGAAGAAAATGAAAGCAAGTCTTCAAGAGCCAAAATACAAACTTGAGTATATTCCCCTGAATTTTGAAAGCATTTGAGGAATAGCTATGACTCCCTGAACTTTAATGACAGAAAACCCGGAAAATGGTGGGATGATATCAAGGAAAGCATATGAAAAAAGTAAAGTGTCATTAAAAAGACAGAAAAGAAAGGAAAGGTGAGAGTGGATGTCAGAAGATGCTCTAAAATATGCTCTTGATCATTGAGCAACTAAGGAAAATAGAAAACGATGAAGTAAATGAGTTTAACAGAATGTTTGAAAAGGTTGCTCATGAAGACAAATTATATGATACAATGTACAGAGACATGGAATTAGAAAATAAAAAAGAGTATGCTCAGTATGTCTGAAGCTGAAAGAACTCAAGAAAAATAATTCAAGTTTCAAGTTGAAATATTGAAGGATTCCATGGGACAAAATATTGAACAATGCAGGAAACATTAAAGGAGATGGAAGAAATACACAGAGCTACTGTGCCAAAAATAATTGGCTGACACTCAGCCATCCAAGAGGTAGCATATGATCTCAAATCAATGGTAATTAGTAAGAAGTTCAAGCTGCACTGAAGACATTAGCAAAAAACCAAGGCTCCATGAATTGATGGGATACAGACTAAAATGTTTCAGCAAATGAATACAGCACTGTAAGCATTCATTTGTGGACCATAAAAACTATGGATATCATTGAGAAGAATGTGAATTCCATAGCATTTCTTCTTCATTGTGTATATGTGCAACGTGTGCGCATGGACATGGATCATGTGACAGTTACTGTGGGTCAAGGTTAATTCCCTTTACTATGCTTATTCAAGCTTCATGCTGAACAGATAATTTGAGAAACAACACTGTATGAAGAAGAATGCAACATCCAGATGGGACGAAGCATAAAGATTCTGTGATATGCAGATTACACAACCTTATTTGTTCAAAGAGCAAGACTTGAAGTATTTGCTCCTGAAGATCAAGGACTGCAGCCTTCAATATTGATTGTAACTCAGTGTAAAGAAAATAAAAATCCTCATAGCTGGACCAATAAATAGCATCCTGCTAAATGGAGAGAAGATGAAAGTTGTCAATGATGTCACCATCTTTGGATTCACAGCTAATGCTCATGAAAGCAGAGATCAAGAAACCAAATGATGTATTTCTATTGGCTAATTCACTGCACATGACCTCTTGAAAATGTTGAAGAGCAAGAATGTCACTTTGAGGACTAGATGCCCTTGCCATTCTGTTTTCAATCACCTCATATGAATGTGAAATTTGGGCATTGAATAAGGAAGACCGAAGAAGAAATGATGCATTTGAATTATGGTCCTGGCAAAGAATACTGAAAATATCACGGACTGCCAAACGAACAAACAAATCTGTCTTGGAAGAGATACAGCCAGAATGCTGCTTAAAAGCGAGTGTGAGATTTCATCTAACCTATTTGGACATCTTATAAGGAGAGACCAGCCCACGGGAAGAAGATCTCCTACATTGTAAAATGGAAGAGCAGCTCAAACGAAGGAGAACCTGGACAAGATCAATTGACACAGTGGCTACAATAATGGGCTCCAACCTAACATTAAATGTGAGGATGGTTTAGGACCAGGCAATGTTTCATTTTGTTGTGCATAGGGCTCCTATGGGTCAGTTATTTTCATAGAATTTATCAAGTTGGTACTAAATTTATTTGGAAATATGAAGTTAATTTAATTGGAAATGCTTATTTTGAAGAATGAACATGAGAAACCTATATTGACTGATTTTAAAATTTAATAAAAAATTACATTAATCAAAATGTGTAACATAAGTATAAATGTACAAAGAACTATGTAAATCTAGATATATATTATCACAGTTATGATCATAGAATTTTCAGCAAGGTTGCAAGGAAAGTCATTAAAGAGAAGATAACCTTTTCAATGAATAGTGTTGAAACATTTGGGTATTAACAGACAAAATGGTGAAATAGGTTTCAACCTCATACCGCATCCTAAGATTGATGGAAGTATGAATAATAGAACCAAATGTAAGAACTGAAAATACAAAATTTTTCAACAAAGTTAAGAAAAGAGCTTTTAAATATAATACCCAATGAACTATTGCTTTAAAATTTAATAATTTAGACTTAATCAAATTAAAGAAATTGAGCCTCAAACAATATTATCAAGAAAATGAAAATACAAACCACTGCCTGGAAGAGACATATATGCAATTTATATACTTAAAGATGTTAATTCATCATAACTGTAGCAGCACAATTGTGGAAATACAAACAATTAAAAAACAAAAATTATGACAAAAATATAGGAAAATATATTTTTCAAAAATGAGCACAATAGCGATATTAAAATTAAAAGCAGAATGAGATATCACTACATACTTATAACCAAAATGTACTGCCAGTGTGTTGACTCCAACTCATAGAAGCCCTCGTCTCCAAGGCTGTAAATCCTTACATTAGCAGATAGCCTCTCCTTTCTTCCTGTAAGCTGCTAATAAATTTGAACTGCTGACCTTGTAGTTCCTTGTAGTTAAATATTAAAACACTGAACATTCTTAGCTTTTTTTCAGATTGCATTCGGAAACACTGTCCAACTCATTGCATATGGCCATTTGTGTATATGAAACTACATACCTATTACCATTCAACTAGTTCTCATTCATTTATTCCTTATAGGACAGAGGAGAACTGCCCCACAGGGTTTCCTGGGTAATCTTTATAGCTGGGACTGTCCCATCTTCATCCAAAAAACAGGCGGTGGGTTTAAACCACTGAACTTATGGTTAGTTAGCAACTGAGCATAAGCAACTATGCTACCTGAGCACTTATTTCATAACATAGTTCCCTTTATATTATTTTATTTTTTGCTTTGCTTTTTTTCATTTTCCCTCCCACTTCATTTTATTTCTTTTCACTTTGCTTGAAAAGTGTTGCTACCAAATCCATTAAACTGATTTTATGAACCTCGTGTGCTGTACAGGAACCCTGGTGAATTTGTGAGTCAAGTATGGGACTGCTAACTGCCAGGTCAGCAGTTCAAAAACACCAGCTAGTCCTCAGGGAGACAATGAGACTGACTCTCTACTTCTCTAAGATTGACAGTCTTGGCAGCCCACAGGGAAGGTTATACCTGGCCAATTGGGTCACTGAGTTGGAATCAACTTGATTGCCGTGAACGTGATTTTGGTTTTGGATTTGATGCAGAGACTGGCATTGGAAAAACACCAATAAAAGGGAGGGGAATGATTATACTAAGACAGAATCCACCACCACCTAATAGCAAAAACCACAGCAAGCGCGATTAAGCCTTCATGCACCTTTACCCACCCACCACTTTACTACCACCAGCAAAAACAATAAGAATCAGGAATTAAAACGTCCTTAAGTTCATGCTCATTCATATAATTCAGAACTTTAAAATGAAATATAACTACTGTAGTTTTTCCATATGTACTCAGCTTGCAGCTTTAAAAACAATTTGGCAGAAAAGATATAAGTAATTTATTGATATTGTTAATTGTAGAGTAAAAAATATTTGAAATACTTTCGGGGAAAGATCTCAAAGGCAAATTCACTGCCATCAAGTCAATGTCGGCTCATAGGGCCTTTATGGGACAGAGTAGAAGGGCCGCCGGGGGTTTCTGAGACTGCAACTCTTCACGGGGGTAGAAAACTAGGTGATCACAAGGACAGGTTCATAAAATTATTTAACTTATAAAAGAAAATAAAGATATTGTTTCTGAGCCATCATGATGGCACCAAATGCCTGTGTACATTTCCAAAAGAAATAAAATCTAAGTATGACCTTGTTAAAAACAAATATTAGATTAAAATAAAGAAGGAAAATATCTATTAAATTGTCAGATGATCATACTGTTGAATCTTAAAATTTGGATAATTTTAATAACGTTTTATTTCTTTAAAGTAAAAGCATAACACACCTTCATGGATAAAGTTAGTATAGTTATTTTAACCATTTAAACACCTCATATCTAGATTTATAAATTTCAAAAGTGAACACTATCATATCATTCTTATTATAACATGGCAATTTATGGGAAGCTGATTCAGTCATACTGCAGCTAATGTCCCTTCAAATTATTTGACATCGGGCTCAAGCTACAACTTTAAACTACTATTTTATTCCATATCACTGTACCATATTGCATAGAAGTTAGCTTGTCCAACTGTTATGTATGTAGTTGGTGCATAGTACTGGTGTGACTTAAAACTACCCTGTTATAAAATATATTACACTTTGGTAGCAAGATTAGTAAGAAGTTCAAGCTGCACTGAAGACATTAGCAAAAAACCAAGGCTCCATGAATTGATGGGATACAGACTAAAATGTTTCAGCAAATGAA